GCTATTAACAATGAATAAAAAAAAAATGCGATTCAATACTTTGTTTTTTTTTTGCACAAATTAAAGAAATGGAAATTTGTGAATTAAAAAACTTACGTGAAAGATTAAGATGAAAAAATAAATAAAGGTACCCAAAAAATCTCTTTAATCTCTTTAGGATTTTAAAAAGGAATTTTGGTTTTCCTTTGGGATAAAACGATATATAAAGGGAGGTATGTAAGGTATATTGTATATTTATTTATCGATAAGAATAAGAACGAATGTTTTAAAATGTTTTTAATGTTTTTTTTTTAAGAGTTATTTCCACGTCACACCTAATAAAAAAAAATTCGATACATTTTAGTATTTTTTATTTATTAATATGTCGTCATCATGATTCATCATTCATTATTATCTCACCTTATTCATCTCACCACCAAATCATGGATTGTTGTTCATAAAAGGAATAAAGTTGTTTTTTGTTTTCGGTCATTAAATCAATATCCGCAATTTCTTTCTTAATGGCTTCTCTAACTTTTCTTGCACCGGATTTCATCAATTCTCGAGATTCTTTAGATTTCACTTCCCCTTCTAATCTCTTCATTTCAATATCATTCCACATCATTTCAATTTCTTCATCTTGAGATTTCTCCAATTCATTAACATATTCTGTATCAATAATATCATTTTCTCTTTCAAACCAAATTAAAACTTTGGTTTCAGCCTTTTTCCAAACAATATTGTATTCGATTCTTTTAATCTCTTTATAAAGTTGTGACGCTTCCCGTCTTAAACATTCGGCTTGTTCTCTAATTTTACTTGGAACTTTAACCAATTCTTCAAGTTTGGAATATCTTTCCTCCTCCAAACGATGAATGAAATTTTCAATTTCTTTCATTTGCATATAATTATAATTCAATGCAGATGCTGCAGCAGCTGCATAATCTTCAACAAAGAGTGAATTATTTGCTACCAATGTTGCAGCTTTGTCTCCCATATTTAGTCGAATATGTAAATAAATGTATGTATATAATTATTAAAAAAAAATAAGTATAAAAAAAAAAAATATAGAGGGAATAATAATAATAATAAAATGAGGAAATATATATATATATAAAATAAATTAAACAAATTATTTCTTTTTTTCTTTTCTTTTTTTGTTTTTACTTCTCTTCGGTTTATTTTTAATTAGGGAATCGATTTTTATGTTTTATTAAAGTTTTCGAAAGGAAATGAAAAAAAACATTGTTTTTTTTCTCGAAATAGTTCGTATTTTTTTTTTCCTGAAAAAAAATTTTTTTTTTTTT